ATTTTAAAGTTGCTGGTCATGACCGAATAAAATAATAATAATTTGAAAATTTATTAAAATATTTATCGCATAAACTCGTGTGTTTGTTAAACAATTTAAAAAAATGGTTGTTATATTTTTAACAAGTAGTGGAAATTTTTTTATTAGCTTTCCATTAAAATTAAAAGACTGAACTTTCATGACTAAATACATTTGTTTAGAAATATAAAACGTAGTTGTGGTTGACGTATACCTGTTTAGACAGAGGGGTGCGATTGTTCTTGTTTTAAAGTGGCGCCATCTATGGCCAAGAATTCGACTTTAGCCACACACATAAATCACACCCGTTAATAGGGCTGACCCATTCATTCAACCACATATCGTAATTTTGACCTGAATCACAGAATGATTGATCTCCAATCCAGTACCCCCAGAGGTATTGATTTGTTATGGGAACATGGAGGACTTTGCGACTCCACAGATTTAATTTGCATCAGTCACCATTTACCACACGGAGAGTCTTCGGCCGGCATGGTTCGAGCCCACGAACTCTGGTGCCCTGTCGACCAGGCTATCCCAGCTTATAAAACGTAGTGGTAAACTCAAAGATATTAAACTGTATTTTACTTCTCCAATTTTTCCACCACCAGTTAATTTATTTAAGGATAGTATGAATTCGAGAAAAGTTCCATTATTTAATAAATTAGTGACATGACTTTATGTTATTTTGTAAAGAAAATATATTTGTATAACAATAGTGACCTCCAGACCTCTCTAAACGTTAAAATGGCACTTTTAACAGTTATTTTCTGCCAGACGTTTCAACAGTAGCCCAACAACTATGTATACTTACTAGCTCATTATGTGTTAATTGAAAGAGCAATTTAAATGTTACTAGTAAAATATGTAAAAAGCATTTTCATTCATAATATCTACAGTTGTTAAACATGATGAATAAGAAATATAAAATTGCAAATAAAATAAAAATTAAGAAGTTGCTTCCCCACAGCAAGAACATTGCTTCCTTTTTTTTTTCGACTTAAAAGTTTAATATTTTGACATGCGACTACATAAGAAAATATGACACATTTTTTTTCCTCTAGGAAAAATTCGCAGAGAACTTTTGTTAGGTAAGTATCATAAGTATTTCATTTGTTTACTCAAACCCTGTTAAAACAACCCTGTCAACGAAAAGATCTTGCGGACGAAATGACCTTGTCGACGAATCAACACCGATTCCGAAACGACCCTTTTGTCGAAATAACCCTGTCGATGAAACAACCGAGTCGATGAAAAGACCTTTTCAATAAAAAGATCGTGAGGACGAAATGACCCCTACCGATGTAACAACTCAGTCAAAGAAAAAGCCTGTCGACGAAACGCCTGTCGACGACGATGTGTAAGAAATAACCTAGTCATTTAAGTAATGTCGATAAATTGCTCTATCGAATGAAATGAAATGAAATAGACCCATACAGAAGGGAACAAAAATTAAATGGCTCAAAAGTGATCAGATTAACTTGCTAGGAATATTATCGTCCATAATCTCATTTGAATCATTGGAGTTGTATTACAGCAGATTGCAATGAGCAAGTCTTAATGTAGAAGGTTATAATAAGGAAATTTCTGGAAAGCTATCAGGTTAAATCTCTGTGAAAGTTGTCCTCCTAACAACATCTGATTCATTAAAATTGAAGTATTGTAGCAGATTGCAATTAGGGCAAGACTGTATACAGAAGGTTACAATTGAGAAATTGCTCGAAAGAAATCAGATTAAATAGTTAGAAATAATATCTTCCCGGCGTGCAATTTTATCAATAATTAATTTGGTTGATTAGTTGGTTCTAATGCTGTTGTTGTTAATTTACGTCGCACTAGAGCTGCGCAATGGGTTATTGGCGACGGTCTGGGAAACATCCCGGAGGATGATCCGAAGACATGCCATTACAATTTTGATCCTCTGCGGAGGGGATGGCACCCCCGCTTCGGTAGCCCGACGACCTGCTCGTGAATGGTTCTAATGCCACTTGCAACACGGACAAGCCTGCTTGGTGAAACCGAGCAGATTTAAGGCAGAGAGTGCGTTTCTTGCTTTTCAGTGGCGCCATATATGGCCAAAAATACGACTTCTGTCACATCTTACGTCACACCCGTTTATAGGGCGGACCCATTCATACATCCATTCATTCATCCACAGATCGGGTCCTCGGTAAACTGTTCTACCGTAAAGTGCTCGACTTCGCGTGCAGATCGTCGGGCTACCGAAGAGGGGGTGCCATCCCCACTGCAGAGGATTAAAATTGTGGATCATCCTCAATTGTGGATCCTTCGGATCATCCTCAGGATGTTTCCCAGACCGTCGCCAATAGCCCATTGTGCAGCTCTAGTGCGACATAAATGAACTACAACAACAACAACAATAATCATCCACAGATCATAATTTTGACCTGAATCAGAGAACGATCGATCTCCAATCCAGTATCCCCAGAGGTATTGATTTGTTATGGGAACATGGAGGACTTTTGCGACTCGACAGATTTAACGTGCATTAGTCACTTTACTACACGGGGAGTCTTCAGCCGGCGGGGTTCGAACCCACGACCTCTCGGACATAGGTCCAGCGCCCTACCGACCAGGCTATCCCGGCCTATAATTAATTTTGACTAAGAAAGCAAAAAATGTTGTTGTTATCAACCACCAACGTTACCAACTTTACCAGTCGTTACCAACGCAGGAAATAAATTTTATTTTATAAACTGTAGATCACGATTTCTAAGCTAGAAAAACTAAATACGTGAGTGTATTGCATGATCTGAAATTTTTATCTCAATTGAATATTTACTTTTATCATTGTATCGTTCGTAGAGGTACTAAAGAATTACAGAGATTACGTATCTAATTTTACAAAATAACATATAACATCACGAAATAAATATATATATAAATGGGTCGCCTCTTTGACAAAAAAGCATTAGCTACAGTGAGAAGGTTCAACTAGATACCATACAAAATGAAATATCTTATTTTTATTCTCATATCAAGTTTATCATTTGTTTGGGTGAGTACTATTAATACTTCATTTAGCATGTATTTTACTTCATCATACTTTTTATAACGAGAACGAAAATGTATCGTTAAAAAACGAAAGAAAAACACATTCAAATTTTTAACTAAATTATGTACTTAGAAAATAAGTGGAAAAATTTTAATTAAATTTTACAATTAATAATGAGTGAGGAAAAAGCCAAAATGGCGAAAGTTTACAATTAATAATGAGTTTAACTTGAAGCAGAAAGGGGAATTTTTGGGGAAAATTTATTAATTTGTAATTTTTCTCGAAACAAGTCTGCACATATCACCAACTGGACAGCCCCTGCAAGATTATTTGAGAAATTTTTTTTTAAATACTGCATTGTAAGAACTGGTGTAATACATCTTTAAATCTGACGTTGAAAAACTAAAAAAAAAAATGTATGAATTAACAATTTACTTATAATGAATCCTAAATAGAGCTTTTATATACATTTTTTCGCGTTTAATTTAATTAAACACTCGTAATAAAAAAGCTTGTTATTAAACTTATTCGCATCATACGGGAATTATTTTTGCTTCTGGAAACGCTAACGCTTTCGATGCACCAAGAAATTCTATACAATTGAAATATGAGTTGGCGTATGTATGCTGTTGTCTTAAACATTAGTATGCATCTACANGTTAAGTTTAGTTCGTATTCGATTTTAGAAATAGATTTTATTTTAAGAATTAGCGTATATGTAATCCAAGATAAATGATTCATTATATAATATCGTGAAAATAACTTTACTTACTCTTATGGGCATAGAATCCTACTATACTTAGAAATTTTAGTGTTACCGAATATCAAATATTATGGAGACTTTAGTGTTACCGAATATCATGTATTGTGGAAATTTTAGTGTTACCGAATTTCATATATTGTAGAAATTTTAGTGTTACCGAATATCATATATTGTGGAGACTTAAGTGTTACCGAATATCAAATATTGTGGAGACTTTAGTGTAACCGAATATCAAATATTGTGGAAATTTTAGTGTTACCGAATATCATATATTGTATACAATAGACCAAGTAGTGTAAGAGACCATTCTAAAATTAGAACATTCATAAATTCAACTGTTTCATTTCATTTTAGGAGTGCATTAAGATGAGTTTTTTTACCTTTAAGAAAGGGAGAGGTGCATTATTTGGTTTTGTATCAATAAATATTAATTACATTTAATTAATGTTTGCATAATTAAAACTTATTTTTTGTATATTAATATATTATTATTTTCCAGAATATTTAAAGATGTTAATATAATATATATAAAAACAATCTCTATCTGAAGACTAATGCTGATTGAAGCTTTGCAACTTGCGTGATATTTCTATTAATTTCGTAAATCGAAAACATCAGCAAGGTTAATAAATAAGCTTTTTTTAATAAGCTTTTTTTTTAAGAAAATGGTATCGTGATAAGTAAAATGCGCATTATACTTAGGATTAAAAATTATTGCTTACGTGATATTTCTGTTAATTTGGTAAACCATTTAAAATTACGCTATTTAAAATGTCATAAAACATTGGAAAAAAACTTATACTTTACGATTTATAATGTTTTTGCCTTTTGCTAAAAAGATAGTGAAAAGTTAAGTAAATACGATGAAGTTAGTTTGGATTGAATTATCTTTGAATAAATGAACTTTATAACTCTGTGTTATAATCCAAAAATATTTTAATTCGATTAACAAGATATGGTGAAATACGTAAAAAGTTAAATTAGCATTAAATGGTCTAAACTTTAGACTGCTCTTTATTTCCTAAATATTTTTGGATCAATAGTGGAATTCGTTGGTAAAAGGTCTGTTTTATCAAAGAAAGTACGCTTCTGTGTCTGGTTTATAACTTCATTTGCTCTAATTAATTAGTTAACACCAAAATGTTTTATAAACTTGTAAAGAGAAATAATTCTGAAGGTTTTAGAATGATTGATATTGTTACCAAACATTTAAAAGCATCACCACGATAAAAATAGAACAAAGTAATGTATCATACACGTTTTTGAATCGTTTATACTACATAGTTTGAAACAAAGAATCATGGTTTAAAATATAAAGCCAGCAACCACTGGAATTTTACTTTCCATAAAGGCATAGAAAGTAGGAAGTCATGTATCTATCTCAAATATATAAATGGAAAAAGTGGTAAAACATACCAATTAATACCAATAAAAGTATACCAATTAATTGGTTGTATAACTGAAATAAAAACTGAAGTATATACTATATAGCTAAATTAATGGACANTCAAGAATATTTAAAGATGTTAATATAATATATATATAAAGACAATTTCTATCTGAAGACTAATACTGATTGAAGCTTTGTATGTTGCGTGATATTTCTGTTTGTTTTGTAAATAGAAAACATCAACAAGGTTTTCCGAAAAATATGCCCTTTTTTAAGAAAATGGTATCGTGCTAAGCAAAGTGCGCATTATACTTAGAATTAAAAATTATTGCTTACGTGATATTTCTGTTAATTTAGTAAACCATTTAAAATTGCATTCTTTAAAATGTTATAAAACATTGAAAAAAAATTTGTACCTTACGATTTATAATGTTTTTGTCTCTTGCTAAAAAAAATAATAAAAGATAGTGAAAAGTTAAGTAAATACGATGAAGTTAGTTTGGATTGAATTATCTTTGAATAAATGAACTTTATAATTCTGTGTTATAATTCAAAAATGTTTTAATTCGATTACCAAGATATGGTGAAATACGTAAAAAGTTGGATTAGCATTAAGTGGTCTAAGCTTTAGACTGCTCTTTACACCACATTTCCCAAATAATTTTGAGATTAATAGTGGAGTTCGTTGGAAAAAGGTCTGTTTTATCAAAGAAAGTACGCTTTTGTGTCTGGTTCATAACTTCATTTGCTCTAATTAATTAGTTAACACCAAAATGTTTTATAAAGAAAATGTTTTGTAAAGAAAAATAATTCTGAAGGTTTTAGAATGATTGATATTGTTACCAAAAATTTGAAAGCATCACCACGATAAAAATAGAACAGAGTAATGTATCATACACGTTTTTGAGTCGTTTATATTATTTGAAACAAGGAATCATGCTTTAAAACATAAAGCCAGCTACCGCTGGAATTTTTTTTCCATAAAGGAATGGAAAGTAGGAAGTCTTATATCTATCTCAAATATATAAATGGAAAAAGTGATAAAACATACCAATTAATACAAATAAAAGTATACCAATTAATTGGTTGTACAACTGAAATAAAAACTGAAGTAAGCTGAATTAATGGACAAATGGTTATAATTAATTTAGGAGAAAATATTAAACATCTCCATACTCATATTGAAACCAATGATTATTTAATTTCGGTAAAAAAATACTAACTAAAACAAAAGTTAGAGCTATGTACTAAAAAATTAATAGTTTAATTAATAGTGCAACTCAATTAACTCAATAATTATAGTTTCAAAATTAATAGTGCAATGGTTTTCATTCGTTTAANTTTGATGAAATCGGTCATTTTAAGGCAGGCAGATACCTTAATAGTGCAATGGTTTTCATTCGTTTAAAAAAAAGCGTAAAAATTGTCGTGCTGTTATGACGCCGATAATGCTTAATTTATCTTGGTAATAGGTCCTAATTGAAAGGTCCTAAATTAATTATGAATTATCTTCCGAAAAGCAAAACTTATGGATAAAAGATACTAATTCTTTCAGGAGGAATATGAATAATCGTCATACTAATATTGATTGCTTAAATCGTGATACTAATATTGCTCATTAAAAATGCTGCTAAAATTAATTAGATCATGGACACTTTAATTTGTATGGTAATTGGTGCAATTTTAGCAAATACCAAATACACCGAAGAGCCATTACATTATGACCACCCTGCCTCAAAACTGCCAGCACCCGCCGTGGCATTGATTCCACAAGGTGCTGATAGGTAGTCTGAGGTATCTGGTACCAAGCGCACACCAACTGGTCCAGCAAATCCCTCACATTGCGAGGGGGAAGCGTGGCAACACGAATTTGGTTTTCCAAGTAGGACCACAAATGCTCTATTGCAGTGATTATCAAACTTATTTCTTTTATCGCTCCCTTTGAAAATCAATTATTTTTCAGCGCCCCCCATTTTTTATACACCCCTTAAACTTAAAAACCACAATTTCATTACTTTAATTAATTTAGTTATACATATTAGTCGGTTCTNTATGACATGGTGCATTATTCTGTTGGTAAACACCATCCCCCGCAGGAAAAACTGTTGCCATGACTGGGTGGACCTGGTCTGCAACTATGACGATTATGGGTCCTAATGTGCCCCATGAAAACATTGTTCCTGGGCGAGAAACCATGAAAACCTGGGCGAGTCCATTGTTATAGATGGAGGGTGGTAATAATGTAATGGCTCTTCGGTGTATAATGTAGACAAAATTAATATATTTGGTACCTATTAAAACTGCTTTAATACTGAGCAGTTTCAATATAGATAATGTAGAAAGATGTGTTTTATTGGTCTTCAACAGCGATAGGAACCATAAAAAATCGTTTAATTTAGGTAAGTTTTGAGATCATTATTTTAAAAAATACTCAGTACAGTTAATCTTTATTTTGATGGAAGGAACTACTAAAATGTTTTTCACCTAATCTAATAATGCAAAGCCAGCAATAAGAAAATAATAATAAAGAAAGAGAAATTATATTTGATTTAGCTTTATTAATTGAGTTTGTATAGGGGTTTTCGTTTTGAGCATGACTTCGTACTGTTTTTCAGTTTTAATTTATTAACGGTTCAATTTCTTTTTTCCCCGCACGGAGTCAGCTTATTATAAATAAAATCGAGTACAAATTAATATAAACTACTGTATACTCTCGATACATTAAAGTTGAAAGGACGCTAAAAAATTTTTTAAGATAGCGAGTTTCCGAGATAACAAATTCAGAGCTAAATTTGTTCAAAAATGTAGAAAAATACATTTTAAAATAGTACTCTAAAAAATAAAGCCTATAAAAACATAAGAATAACTACTCATAATTATGTATGCAATATGATTGTTGACTGTAAGTCTAAATACAATAATGATAATTTTATTTTTAAAAGTAAGACAAAAATAACTAAGCTTTGAACAGAAAATAATTGGCTTACAGTTTACTTCAAACAAGGCTTTGACATAACAAGGCTTTGAAAAAAAAAAGAGAAAAAAAACAAGAAACTTTGACGTGGGAATTAAAATGAAAATTTTGTGGATATGTAATGCCAGGAAAAAATACTTTTTCCAACATTCGAAGGTTTTCGGGATATATAAGTGTGAGGTATCAAGAGTATACTGTGTTTATTAATTTATAATTTTTGTATTTTTATTCAAGAAAACCGAAGCAGAGATCGAGTGTAGAGCCAATAGAGATTGTGCAGCGGATGAATGCTGTATGTATATCCCTGGAAATAGATTTCGCTTGCCCTCGATATGCCAAAAACGTGGAAGCGAAGGTAAATATGATTCTTCCTCAAATAGTTCTTGCTCATCAACCAAATTTTATAGGAAACTCTTTTGTTATTGGGTTAAAAACTTTGTTCAAATAAGTCAAAAAGCCATGCAAAATTAGAGATCATACATGAAACTAATTAAATACAATGTTGTTGACGTATGCCAGTTTTTTAGTGCAGGGGGTGCGATTGTTCCTGTTTTCCAGTGGCGCCATCTATGGTCAAGGATTCGACTTCTGCCACACCATACGTCACACCTGTTTATAGGGCAGACCCATTCATGCATCCATTCATTCATCCACAGATCGTAATTTTGACCTAAATCAGAGAACGATCGATCTCCAATCCAGTAACCCCACTGGTATTGATTTGTTTTGGGAACATGGAGGACATTTGCGACTCGACAGATTTAACGTGCATTAGTCACTTTACTACACGGGGAGACTTCGGCCTTTGGGGTTTGAACCCATGAACTCTCGGACATGGGCCCAGCTCCTTACCGACCATAATTAAATACAATAAACTAATTAACTTTATTCTGTATTCCGCGTATTTTATTTCGTCTATGATTAAGAAGAGATCAGGGAGATTACTCACTTTTACGTTAGTCTCGTAAGCTTCCGTGCGTAATATTGAAGCAACTGCACATGCTTGCTTCTATTTTAGATTCCCCGTATTTTTAGGTTATGTTGGCCAGACTTACGCTGTAAGCTACAAAAACGCTGTTTATAGCTGTTAAATCTTCTTCTTCTTTTTTTTATTTTTAAGCTTGCCTTCGAACTTGGACATGGAATGCAGATTTAAAAGAACTTGCATTTATAATGCGTATTGAAAAAATTTAGAAATGAATCAAGTTATCTCGCATTAATTAGTTCATTCAATAAAAAATAATTTTATTTATATTTTGTTTAACATTATTGTTGTCTAATTGTACTAGTTTTATAAGAAACTAAATATATTTTCGCTATTTTAAAATTATAAATTAAATTATTTTAACAATGCAATTTAGTTAAAAGGAAGTAAATAATCAATAAAGTTCGATAATATTTTTTAAGTATTGATATTAATAACAATAATAAGCTGCATTCTTTATCGTTGAATTCATCAAAATCTTTAATCTACCAAATTTTTCTGCTCATAGAATCACAGTTTTACTTAAAATACAGCATCCTAAATTTTTTTTTTTTTAAATTTTTTTTTAATGGCGGTCACTTGGAACTATTGTCCATTGGCCACAGAAAGTGCCAGAACTGCTAACTCTCTTTTCGTTACCCAGTGGACACCTGTGGCGAAGCCACGGCGGTGGAGCAGCGTCGCCCACGTCACACTACCACAACCCGTTTATAGGGCGGGTCACATTCACACACAAAGGAGAAAGGACATAGAACACAGATAGAAAGAAAGAAACATCCATGCCTTGCCCGGGATTCGAACCCAGAACCTTTCTGATGCAAGGACAGTTCCCTGCCCCCTACACCGGCCGGTCGGCGCATCTTAAATTGTAAGGCATCGCTTTCGTAAATTTACGGTAGCTTCCCTTATGAAAAAATCGAGGTATAAATGAGGTATAAACGAGGTATAAACGAGGTATATTTTAAAGGTATAAAGGAGGTTGTTGTTTAAATACGTCGTAAAGGTTGAAAAGGGTGCAAATGAATACCTCAAAATCAATCTCAAATATACCTTAATTATATCTCCAGAGGTATATATGTTTCAGCCTGAAGTATATTTTTTTACACTTGAGGAAGTATTTATTCAACAACCTAAGGTGTGTCATTTTACACTTCAGGTTATTATAAATCAACCTCAGGTGTATTTTGTTCGACTTCAGGTAATTATTTTTCAACCTC